ATTAAGATGTCTATAGTACCCAGTGCAAACTACAGATTCATCGTAATCCCTATCAAAATACCAAGGACACTCTCTATAGAATTAGAAAAAAATCAAAAAAATAAAGCTGACACCGCGGCTCACTAGGCTAACAGCACACCGGATTCTAGTCCCGGTCGGGGCACCGGATTCTGTCCCGGTTGCCCCTCTTCCAGGCCAGCTCTCTGCTGTGGCCCGGGAGTGCAGTGGAGGATGGCCCAAGTGCTTGGGCCCTGCACCCCATGGGAGACCAGGAGAAGCACCTGGCTCCTGCCATCGGGTCAGCGCGGTGCACAGGCTTTGTGGTGTAGTAGGTTAAGCATCTGCCTGCAGCTTGAGTCCCGGCTGCTCCAGTTCTGATCCAGCTCTCTGCTGTGGCCTGGGAAAGCAGTGGAAAATGGCCCAAGTCCTTGGGCCCCTGCACCCACGTGGGAGACCCGGAAGAGCTCCTGGCTTTGGATCAACCCAGCTCTGGCCACTGCAGCCATTTGGGGAGTGAACCAGCAGATATAAGACCTCTCTGTCTCTCCTTCTCTGTAACTCTACCTTTCAAATAAATAAAAATAAAATATTTAAAAGTTACACTACTGCATTTTTAATGATCTGTGATTACTTTAAAATTTACTCTATATGGGTGAAATGGCCATTTTCCCATTCAGCTGTTGTTTATGGACATTGTCTATATTCCCACGAAACTGGGTCTTTTTACTAAAAGTATGTCATGAAAATTAAAAACAAAAAGAGGAGGAGGGAGGAGAGGAGTGAGGGAGGGAGGGGAGGGTGGGAAATATCGTGTTCTTAAAACTGCATCTATGAAATTCATGAAATTTGTTCCTTTTAGATGAATTTTTAAAACTGTAGGGTTCCGAAAAATTCTCATGAGCCGGGGTGCAGGATCAGGCCGGGAAGGGTCCCCTGCCTCCTAGGAGTAATGGGGGTCCTCCCTCGGCCGGGCTCTCCACTTCTGCTCAGGGGGGCTTCCGCCTTGCCTGGAGCCCGGAAGGAAGTGTCCAGGGGTCCCGGGGGAGGCGGCGTAGTTGGCCTGGATTGTTCCGGCCGCCGAGGCCCTGTCCACGGCGCAGCGCAGACCAGGACAGGAGGCTGAGTGAGGTGGCCGAGCCCAAGCCCGAGGTAGGGGGACGAGGCCAGGCCGTATCTGTAAGACCATCGCAAAACGCACCAAACACGGAGTCAGAGGAGAGGTTTATTGTTGGGTGGGGGAAGCCCGATGAGCTAGAGGGAGAAGGTGAGAGAGCAAGAGACAGACAGACAGACACACGGAGGGAGGGAGACCAGGAGAGAGGCACGTGTGGGAGAAGCAGGTCACCTTTGCAGGGGGCAGGGAAGAGCAGTGAATCCCATCAGGGTGTCCGGTTGGGCCAGAGCCTAGGGTGGTGTCCAGGGCGTAGATCGGCACCATTACTAACAGTCTCCAAGCGGACCCTGTTGGTCTTGGATTTGGGGCGTTTTTCTAAATCCAGTGACCAGGACAGGGGCGAGGGCTTTTAGCAGAAGCCGGAGTTGACCCGAGTAAGATCCTCAGACTCAGCCTGGCTGCCGCGGGAGGAGCCGTGGAGGGGCAGTTTGTTGTTTAAGTTTTTTGAATTTTATAATCGAGTTTATGCACAAAGCACATAGCTCAGGTAAACACTTTTTAAAAAAGGATAATTTGCAAAAGAGAGGTCGTCCATCTGCTGGTCCAGTGCCCAGATGGCCAACGCCAGGAGCTTCATCGGGGTCTCCCGCGCGGGTGCAGGGGCCCAGGCACGTGGGCCATCCTCCGCTGCTTCCCCAGGCCATAGCAGGGAGCTGGACCGGGAGTGGGGCAGCCGGGACCGGAGCCGCTGCTCCGACGGGATGGCCACAGCACAGGCAGTGGCTTGGCCTGCTGTGCCACAGCGCTGACCCCTCAGGTACACCCTGAAGAGCTTGGATTCCACCGGTCAGGGTGCACATTTCCCAAGGGTGCCTCCCCCCCTCCCCAAGAGTGGACGGGGCTGATGCCAACTGCGTAGGAGCGGACTCCGCAGCGTGCACTGCCGCCTCTCAGATGTTTCTGTGGTCACCCGTGTGGGGTTGCAAGGACCTGTCTGTCACTCTCCAGACTTTAAAATGCTCCATGTGGGCCTCTTCGGCGCCCACGGAGCTGTGCGCACCAGTGACCACCAGAGGGCAGTGTGACCCTGCAGCAGGCATGAGCCGCCCGCAGGTGCCCAGCACAGCCGACCGTGTGCTCCGGCCAAGGTAACGGTAAGGTGACCTTCGGCAGTGACCACAGCGGCGTCCTCAGCGGACAGGCCGTCAGGAGCTGTCGGCCACCCACAGGCCTGGGAACACCTGTCTGCCCCCGGCCCAGCCGGCAATGCTGATCACTTATTTTTTAATGTCATTGTACTAATAACTCAGTCTGGGAATACTCAGCTCATTGGCGGGGCCAAACTGGGGGGCAGCGGGTTAAGCCGCCACGTCTGACCACAGGGGCCGGTGACCGTGGAGGCACCTTCGAAGTCTGGCCCAGCTCCTCTTCTGCTCACCTCTGACCCCAAACCTGTCGAGGACGGGGAGCCTGGGCGGAGTGGATCTACTGCAGCCACGCAGAGGGCCGGCCGGCCCACCCCCTCACCTGCTGCTCGCTGGCTCGGTGGACGCCGCTCCGGGCAGTGCGCGCTGGCAGCCTCACCTGAGTCCGCACGGGAAGTGGCCACGTTTCCACTTTCCCAGCCCCACCTTGTGTTGGAGGCAGTGCAGGCTCAAGCCGTCAGACACGCAGCTGGGGCCCGGGCTCCGCCCAACACACCTGCACTCGGGCTCATGAAAGCCATGGAGGTGATTCAGAACCCAGAACCCAGTCTCAGGAAGGTGGGGAGAACACGCCCCCCGCACCAGGCCCAGGGACCAGGACGGCCGGGCGGGTGCGGGGAGGCCCTGGGTGTGGCTGTGCACTCTGCGAGCCCACCGTAAAAACCTGGCCTCTCTCTCCTTCTAACTGCCTCGCAATCTTAAAAAAAAAAAAAAACACACACCTGGCCCTCTCTAGACGCATCCCACCTGTTCCCCAAGCAGCAGCCCCACACCCACCGCAGGGGGCAGCCGGGGAGTCTGGGAGGGGCCCCTCAAAGAGGGGGCAGGTTGTGGATGTGCACAGGGCCACCGACAGGTCACCGATGGCTGGGCGGCGTCACCCGAGGCGCCCTGGGCTGGCCTGGGTGGTTTGAATCCTGGCTTGGGGAAGCCACGTCTCACCTCCAAACCTCAGTTTGCTCATCTGGGGAATGGGACCACGACGCGCACCTGCTCGTGCGGAGGGATCGTGAAGACCGGAAGATGCAGGCAGCGCACTGCGTGCAGAGCGCAGGCGCAAGGCGCTCAGCGGACCGCGGCAGCCCTCGCTCCTGATTCAAACAGCGGGCACTGAGGCGCCCGCTGCGCGCTGGGAGGCACCGCTGAGGTCTCCAAAGCGCCCACCCCAGGGCAGGGGGCCGGCGCACTGGTTAAGCTGCTGCTTGGGGCGTCCACGTCCCGGGCTGGAGAACTAACTCAGTGGCGAATTCTAACACATACACACCTCATCACGATGTCTCACAATTAGTAAGCAAAACAGCTCTACTGTGTGAAGTGGCCCACCTGCTGGTTCACTCCCCAGATGCCTGCAGCAGCCAGGACTGGGCCAAGCTGGAGCCGGGAGCCTGGAGCTCCATCCGCGTCCCCAGGTACTTGACCACCACCTGGGAGCCCAGCTGCCTCCCAGGGTGTGTGTGAGCAAGAAGCTGGATCTGAAGCGGAGGCTGGGGGCCTGGCGCTGTGGCGTGGGGGGCTAAGCTGCCGCCTGCAGTGTCGGCATCCCCCTGCGGGCACCAGCTTGAGCCTGGCTGGTCCCCTTCCGACCCAGCTCCCTGCTGACGCACCTGGGGAAAGCAGTGGAGGAGGCACAGGTACTGGGCTAACCCTGCGCCCATGCGGGAGACGGGGATGAAGCTCCTGGCTTCAGGCTGGCCCCGCCCTGACCCCTCTGCCCATCTGATGGCTGAACCAGCAGAAAGAAGATCTCTCCCTCTCTGTTAAGTCCTTCCAATAAATAAATCTTTAAAAAATGGAGGCAGGACTCAAACCCAGACCCTGTAACACAGGACACAGTGCAGCTTAATCTAAGGTGCCACAACCCCACCCAAATCCCACACTTTAAATGGGCAGATGCTATGGTATAATCACCCCTCAATTTTCAAAACACACACCGGCTTCCAGGCCCACCACAGCGCCGCCCCGGCCCCCCGCCCCGGAGATGCCAGGTCCCACGGCCTTTCTCCTACCTGGACAGTCTTCCAGCCAGGCGAGCCGCACTGCACCCTGGCTGCCCAGCACCTGAGAAAAGTGCTGTCACCCCCACCCACCTCCAAGGGGCTCACGCCTCTATTGGGGGGGTGGGGATATGGAATTTTATTGGTGCAGTTAAGTCTTTACAGGTGCTTCTGCTGGGCCAGCATTAACAAGTCACCACCTTCGAAACCTGTGCTCGACCCCACCTCCTCCAGGCTTCCACTCAAGCTGGCTCCACAGGAGGCTGTCCCAGCCACCCCTCCTCCTGTTTACCTACAAAGCATCAATGCGGGCGACTGCGTTCTAAGCAAAGCTGGCTACCTCCCAACGAGAATGCCAGGTCGATGAGCTCAGAGGCCACACCTGTGTTGTTCACCGCCCTATCCCTAGTACGTCTCTTAAAGGACATGGAAGACAGCTGTGGTAATGAGCGGCTGTGGGATGCAGTTCTCTGTGTGGCCACCAGGTGGCGGGAGCGCCGGAGTGCGGCAAAAGGCACCCCTGGCCACTGCTAAAAGCTGGGAATACGAGGACCACCAAGCCGTTTTGCCAAAACAGCCTTAATTTAAAAACTGGTGCAGAACCTGAAAAAATGAGGGGATGGGAGGAGAACCCAACAGGGCTTAGGGTGTGGAGTCCACTGGCTCAGTCACAAAAAAACACCATCATCAAAAAAGATATTTAAGTTTAATACAAATTTTATACAAAGAAAATGTGAAAAAATACTTCCATATGCTAAAAGCAATTAAGCTTCACAAGTAAGGCCAGCTAGGCTTCGTGTGTGTGTGTTTTCTTTTTTTGACAACTGCAATTCACAAGTCTTCTTTGTCTCCTGTTTTCCTCTAACACTCTTCTCAATGTTCTCTAGTGAGGGGAGCTAGCCGGGGACTGTACAATTCACATCCTCTTATCAACAAGGAAGAGAAAGGAAACGAGACTAAAATGTACAACCAAATGTACTGGAATGATATCGTACAGTTAATTTTCTCATATACATACATCACCTTTTGCTTTGACATACAAAGTGGGACGAACGCATACGTAGTGTAACAGACAGCATGACGGGGCCTCGCTCTCCCATCCGCCTCGGCTTCATGCTTCATATAAATAAGACAGACATGCCCGCTCCCAGCCGCCGGGGAGCTCCTGCGCCTGACCAGGGGAGTGGGGGGAACAGGTGTGTGTGGGTGTGTGTGTGGGTGTGGGAGTGGAGAGGAACCACAAAGCAGAGAGACGAGCCCGCCCCCTGCACCGGGCTGGGCGGGGTGGCCCGGTGGTGCTTCTGTAAACACGGACGCCATGGCTTCCCTTCTCAGGGTCGCCCTTCCAGTCCCACACAAACAGGCAAGCTGCTCCGTGCGTCCCGCTGGCCGGGCTTGGCGTGACGCGTCCACGACGGCGCAGTCTGGGCCCCACCTCCTGCGTGCAGGCTGCAAACGGCTCCCTTTCCCCTGGGTGACAGCGCCAGCACCGTGTGACCGACAGGTGGCCCGGCTGGCCACCCCTCCTCCAACATCAAACATTCCTCTTGTGGCTGGGGGGAGGGGGGTCACCTTTCATGATTTTTCTTCTTTATAAGTTAAAGTCAATACAAATATAAAAAGGGGCGGGTGCTCCAGCCTCGGTGCCATCGCGGATCGTCCCTTATGTACAGCTAAAGCCCGGGCCCCGGGCGGCGCACGCCGGCCCTCAATGTAGTGTAGGCGGCCCGGGGCGCCAGGCGCTCAGCCCGCACCTGTGGAATTCGCAAGTCTGAAGACGGCCGCTCTCCCGCCATGGCTGCTTCCTGTGTCCCTGGGGCCCGGGGGCCCTAGTCCCAGAAGGCGTCCAGCCGAGACTCTTTCGGGAGGAGGCTCTTGGAGCTGGAGCCGGCGCTGTGCTCGGCCCGCGCCGACGCCCGCTTCTCCTCGCCGCTGTTCCAGCAGCTGGACTTGCTGCTCCGGGAATGGTCTGGGGGAGGAGAAGGGACAGGTGAGCTCGGCTGCCCGCCCGTCCCGCAAGGCGCTCTGCACCCCCCGGGGTCGTCCCTGGCGCTGTGGCCCTGCGGAGGACACGGGTGGTACCAAGGACTGAAGAGCTGATGGGCGAAGTGGGGGCGGGGCTGGCAGGCTCACGGAGAATCGGAGTTGAGTGGCAGTGGGGCCGACCTGCCGGGGCGGGCATTTCCAGTGCCGGCCCCAGGCCTGGGTGCCCTCCTCCCAAACCCCAGCGACACCACGCACGTCCGGGTGCGACCTCAGCCCCGGAGAAGGCACCAGACTGTGGCTTGTGGTGGACTTACTTCAGTGGAGGGACCACGCACCTATCCTCGGGCCGCTTTAAGCCAAGTGATGACAGAACCAAACCTGGCGACCCACGGGACAGGCTCTCGAGAGACGGGACCAGAGAGGGGAAGGCCAGGTTCCGGGGTCACGGGAGGAGGCAGAGCCACAGCCAGACCCAGGACGGCTCAGGACACACGGACACGGAGCTCACGGGGGCGGAGGACAGACGAGGAAGCGGAGGGCAGAGGCAGAGCGGAGACCCAGAACTCCACCTGCAGGCTGGGCACAGCGGCCAAGCCTGGGATCCCATACAGCAGGCACACGGCGGGGAGCCTGCTTTTTGTCTTTTAACTTCTTGGGGTGGGCTGACAGTATCTGGCTGAAAGAAGTTGAGGCTCAGAGACAGAACCAGGTGGGGACGGGCCCACGCTGCTTACCGCCCGGAACAAGGCAGGCGTGTGCCTAGGGCCGGTTCTCCTCTGAAAGGAGCAGCGGGGAGAACGTTCGTGAGGCCAGCAGTGACCACAAGGGGGCAGCACTGGGGCGGCAGCGCTTCTGAACAGCCCTGAACCGCCCCCCCCACCCTTCTGCACCCTCCCTGTGGGTGACGCCCCCGCTTTAGTTCTTCCGGAAGTTCCCGGGGACCGATGCAGCTGCTCATCTTACAGTGAGGCGGGGAAGACACCCCAAGTCCTTCCAGCTCTGTGACCCCACCAAGGAGCCAGGCCGGCCAGTGGGCGCAGCTCCGGGACCTCGCTGCTCACACGGATGGGACGCGGGGCAGGGCTGACCCAGTCAATCCCGGCAGGGGGTGGGAGGAAGCAGTGTTCATCTGGGACCCCCAGCCCGGAGAACAAGGATGACCCTGTCCCCACCCAAGAAGCCGAGCCACAGGCTCTGTGTCCAGGAGCAAGGGCCCTAAGGCACGGCTAGGAGGAGGCCTGCAGAGTGAGGGAAGAGCCAAGCCCGCAGGGACACACCCACCCCCGAGAGCAGGGGGAGTTGCACACACACACACACACACACACACACACGTGTGAACACAGAGACCAAGCCCCGGGCGGGCCAGCAAGGCTCTGGGCTGGGAGGTGGGGCACAGGCGGGCTGCATGTCACACCTGTTGCCAAGACGGCAGAGGCAGCGTGTCTGCTAAGCCCGGGTTCCGCGCACCCCGGGAACGCCCTGCTCGGCACATCCTCGGCAGCCATGGCTACTGGAGCAGGCTGCCACCTCCGGGGAGGCCGGCACAGGACGCCGAGGCATCCAGCCACCAGCACCGGCAGCAGTGCGGGGAGCAGCCAGGCACCGGCGGAGCCGGGACGGAGGGAGGACCCAGTGGCCGGCTACAGAGGCAGCAGCGAGCGCGCCAAACCCTCCGCCTCCAAGGGCAAAGGCAGCGAGCAACCGAGGTGCAAAAAATAACCAACAGCTGGGAGCCAGTGGGAAACGCGGCTGAAGGTAAGACAGAGGTGGGGGTGGGAGAGCAGCTCCAGGAAGAGTGAGGATGTCGGAGCAGGGGGTCCTGGAGGCAGGCAAAGCCCCACACTGGACAAGAGAACGCGCCTGGTCTCCGCCCTGATGACGGGCAGAACAGAGGAGGGAGGGGACTGAGCTCCCAAGACAGGGGCCGGAAGTCAGGAGGCGGCTCGCTGGGCCCACCAAGCACAGCCAGCCGGGGTCCCTAACCTAGCTGGTCTGCAGGTCGAGACGAGGAGTCAGGTAGGCGGCCGCAGCTCTCCCGGTTCAAAGCTGCCATGAACAAGGGTGTCTAGAACCAGGGAAGAGGGTCGGGCAGCGCACGGCTCACCAACCGGAAGGTGACCGACAGGACGGAGGCAGAGCGTCCCCTGCGCTCCTCCCTCTGACTACACGGCACATGCGAAGCCTGTGGTCCTCCGGGACACGACGTGGGCGCCGTCACCAGCCTGCGAGTGCTGGCTCGAGTTAGACGAGGAAGGAGAAGGGCCTGAACACAAGGCTCACATCACCAAGTGCTCTGCCGGGAAAGCAGCAAAGAAAAGCACGCCCGGAGGTCGCTCTGGGCAGGCGCCCGGGCGCTGGGTGTACGAGGCCTCCAGCTCACAGGCGGGGCACGTGGGGGCCTGAGCCAGGGCAGGGCGCCCGGGAACTGCGCAGCAGCAGGGAGGGGCACGGGCCAGAGGACGAACCCGGTACAAGGACCAGACAGAGGGGCCCTCGGCGCCCGAGACCGCACCCGTGCACCCAGCTGAGCGCCGAGCAGGACGTCAGGACTCGGCCCAGGAGGACCTGACCCGTGGACATGATGAGAAAACCGTCACGGGTTTGTACAGCGAGGGAACTGCAGCAGTGCCTGATCATGGAGATGGGGGAGGGGCACCGCGGCCTTGTGCCTCCTGCCCCAGCCAAATCTCCTGTCAGAGCCCTGGCTCGATCCCGGCTGCTCCACTTCCAACCCAGCTCCCTGCTAATGCGCCTGGGAAGGCAGCAGAGGATGGCCCAAGTGCTTGGGGCCCTGCGCTCACATGGGAGACCTGGAGGAAGCTCCCAGCTTCAACCTGACCCAGCAGATGGAAGCCCCCCTCTTTCTACCCACGCCCCCATCTCTGTCTCCCCCGTCTGTATGTTGCTTGCCGACCCCTGGTCTAGGTACCCCTTGCTGACCTCAGAAATGGACTACGACGCCTCTCCTGACACCTTCCTATGTGTGACCCCCAATTCCAACAGACCCCACACCTCCCAGGCATCACCCACCCCACCCCTCTGTGACCCACCTGCCCTCCCACAACTGCCTGGTACAGGGTTAACTATTTATCACTACCACCAAAAAGGAGATGGATAAAGCTTGCCACAAACAAGGTGAACTGTACATCAACACAGACAACAGGTGCAGGATTAAGCTCCACAGAGGCCCCATGGCAGGTCTGCGCTCGGGAGACAGCATGAGACGCCGCGACTCCACAGCCTCCGAGAGGGCTGGAGGGAAGTGGGCGAGCGGCACCTCTAACGGGCGGTGCGGTGGTACCGAATGTCAGCTCCAGGGCCCCCCCACACCTGCTGACCTGACGTCCACCCTGGCACACCTCCCCCAGCCCCAGGGTTCTTCCTCTGACACCCAGGACACAGAGGACCGGGGGCTCCAGGGGTCCACCTGGAGCGCATCCTCACAGGACAAGATGCTGGAGCGGAGGCGACAGTGAGATGACCCCTGTAGGACGGACCCAAGCTGGAGAGAGCCCCGCCTGGCCGGGAAGGGAGGACGGCCCAACAGAACAAAAGGAATCCAGACGTCTCCGAAAACCGCCCTGGACAGCCCAGCCTAGGAAGTGACCCGCGAAGAGAGGCTGTTACAGCAAAGCAGCCTCTGCCCAGGCACCCAGCTGGACCCAACGCGGGTGCTGGGACCTCAGGGAAGCCCCATTGACAGCTGGGCCACGTCCCTGCGGGCAGAGGGACAGCCTGGGGCCAAGCACATGCCAGAGTGAACCCGGAGCCTTCCGCACAGACAAAGCTCCCGGTGATCCACAGTAAATGCACCATGTGCGGCCGGCCGACGCCGATGGGCCCAGGGACCTGCCTGAAGGCTGACTCGCCCAGCTGCCCCCGACCCACCTGTGGCATCTCGCAGGACCTGGAGCAGTAGGAAAACCGCTGCCATCAACCCTGTCCCTCCGTGGCGCACAGTGCCCGGTGCCCACGGTCAGCGGCGGGGAATGACCTACCTGTGCCTTGGTTGGTGCCTAGGAGAATGGAGGAGGGTGTGTCTCTGGAGCCAGAAAGGTCGAGGGTCTGGAAACACAGAGAGAGAAGGATGGACCCAGGCCGCGGGGCCAGCGGGCCGCTGGGGGCACTCACACCACCCCGAGGCGACCCAGCGCCCGGGCCTGGCGTGGTCACGCACCTCGTGCTCTGCCCCCAGCGTGAAGGAACGGTCGAGAGCACAGACGGGGAGCACCCTGAGGGTCTCTGATCTAGAACATTCCCCACCTTCCCATTCTCCAGACCTTCCCCATTCCCAAGGAAGAAGCCGCTGACTTCCACATCACACCACAGACGTGTTCCATGATGGAGCCTCACGGGCAGGGCTAGCAAAGAAACCAAAGGGCTTTACTGACAGCCCAGTGATTCATTCATTCCTAACGCCAAGAAATAAATGCAAAAGGATAAACGTGGGAAAGATGATCAGTGCTCGCCCTGAAACAGCCTTGGCTCATGACTAAGGCTGTTGCGGCCATCTGGGGAGTGAACCAGCAGATGGAAGACCTGTCTCCTCTCCCCTCTAATAATTAAACACACACACACACACACACACACACAACTCCATCACTGCCCCAGACGGACAAGCACGAGGCTTCCAGGGCTGGCAGGCATGGCCGGGGTGGGGGGGGAGAGCTGGGGTCACGGGCCCAAGGCCAGGGCCCTCACCGAGCTGCTGTCTTTGCTCTTCTCGGCGGACGCCTCCTTCTCTTTGGGGGTGCTGGGCGTCTCCGGGGCGGCCGCCTGGGTGCTGGCGGAGCTCCCCTGGGTTGACTTGCTGACGGTTTCCGTGTTCACCTCGGCGTCAGCTTCCTGCTGCGGGGCAGTAGCTGGGAGGAAGAAGAGAGGAGCCACGCGGGGACTGAGTACGACGGACTGGGGCCCTGCGTGGAGCCCTGCTCAGCAGCCCACGCGGCCCGCGGCCCAGCACCAACTCTGACCCCACCCCGTCCGCAGAGGCAGCAGCTGCCCAGCCCAGCCCGGGACCGGAGCAGGAGGGCAGGCCCGAAGTGGGGGGGCTCCCCAGAGGTGTTCAGAGCTGGGGCAATTCCGAACAGCGTGCATCCCACGTTTTATTAAACCACCCAGCGATGACAGAGTGCCCCCAGCTGGAGGCAGTGTGTGACCAGAGGGGTCTCATTCTAGGTTCAGACCTGCCTTAGCCCCAGGGGGCTCGGTGGGAAAGCAATGCTTGGGAGGAACAGAGCAGAGGCAGAGACAGGACCCTGGGCAAGCACAGGGCGCCGGAGGGAGATCTGCAGAGAGCAGGTGTCCCGTGCCTCAAAAGTGGAATAACCAAGGCCAGCTGGGCCAACAGGGACACAGCGAGGGGCTGCTTGGGCGCACTGGAGAACTCAGGGACAACTGGCCGCCACAGCAGGGGGGACTGCAAGTCACTGCAGGGAAGCCAGGTCCCTAGGGAAGGTTACAGCTCACTTTGCCTTTCAAATAAACAAATCTTTAAAAAAATAAAAATAAAAGGCACACAGCAGTGCGCTCCTGTACTGCCCTTGACAAAATCCCAGAGCTCTGTCGAGAGCAAGAATCAGAGAAATCCGGAAACAGTTCTGCTGGCTGCAGCCACGCCCACCCGTGCCCAGGCTGTCGGTGGCTGCTTCTGGGCTGCCAGGGCAGGGGTGACCAGCGGTGATGGGGGCCACACAGCCCCCAAAGCCCAAAATATTCACGGGGGCCTTCCCCGAGAATGGCTGCCAATCCCTGGTCTCCAGCCTCTCAAACCCGAGTCATCCACAAATCACCTTTGCAGGGGTTGCCTGACGCGAGCTCGTATGACTGATACCACATGTCGCTCTCGGTGCGCAGGGCCCCGTGACACGTCCCAGAACCCACGGACGCTCAAGCCCCTTCCATGCAATGGCAAAGTATTTGCGCGGCATCTGCACATGCCTCCTGCACACCAGACCCCTGTAACATCCCAATACGATGGAAACGCTACAGAAACAGAGTCGCAGTGCATAGTTTGGCGAGTATGGACATGGGGTGTTGGGGGTGGGGTACGCTCACATCCCTCCAAATGCAATTCCTTTCTCGGAACATTTTCTGTCCCGGGCTGGGACCCACAGAAACAGAGGGCCACCCGGACCGCTCACAAAGTCTTCACAACGGAGACTTTTAATTCTAAGCACACAAACCTACTATCACATGCAATGGAAAATCTGCTTTTAAAATTCCGACAAATTCTAACAGTCTTCCGCTGGAGGCCCAGGCCACCATCTAAAGCTCAGGTCACCTCCCGGCCCCAACTGCAGCGTCTCTGGCCGAGATGGCTGCGTTGGGGGAGGCGACCTTGTGCACCGCCGTCGCTCAGGGGCTTCGGGGGCCCACGTGGAGACAGACAGATGCGCAAAGGTGCACCCTGGGCCCGTGGCCCCAGGCACGTCACCCCGTGTGCCGGCCCCAAGGCGCCTGTGGGCAGCAGCTGGCTGCCCGCTGTGGACGAGCCATACCTGACTGCGTGCAGGACTTCATGTGCTCGGGCCAGTGCGCCTGCTGGCACGGGTAGTCGCAGTAGCTGGTGTTCCAGCAGCAGTAGAAGATGGCCTCCTTCCGGCAGTGGGCGCACCACTGCTTCTTCTTGGTCTCGTCCACCGCCTGCTGCTTCTCCAGCTCCAGCTGCTTCTTCACCTCGGCGATGAGCCGGTCCCGCTCCTGCTCCAGGCTCTGCCGCATCTCGGCCATGGTCAGCTCTGAGAGAGGAGGGCGTCGCTGGCTTGGTCAGCTGACCCAGCCCGGGGCGCAAGCGATGCACCCCCAGATTCAGACACAAGGTGTGAATCCAGACTCGGAACATAATCTCCCCCTAGACCACATGACCCTAGGCCGGCTCCCAGGCTTCCTTGAGAGAGCAAGGCCATTGGCAGTAACCCAGGAGCGACATGCACGCCGCAGTAAAACAGTTCCTCGATTCCATGAGCACACTTCCAGGAAACGCGTCTGCAGCCCCGTCCTTCCCTGCCCCTCCCACGAGGGCCTGGGACGTTTTTCTCTCTGGTGAAGAGAACACACGTGGGGCCCTTCCAGTTGCTCCAATGACCCTGTAGACAAAAGCCCCACAGCCCGGGAGCTCGGGGCGGCCCCCGGGGCATCTCCGTGCAGCACCAGCGGCAGCCTGGAGAGCACACCGCTAATAACAAACTCCAGAATCCAGCCCCCCGCCAAGCCCGTTTCCACGCCCGGCTGCTTCTCCCCACGAGCAGCCCAGCCCACGGCACCCGGCCCCGGCGGCGCCGCGCAGGCCCGGATCCGGAGGTGCAGGGAAGCCCCCGCCAGGCCTCACCCAGGTTGTGCTTCATCTCCGAGAGCTCCTGCTGGTGCAGCCACTGCAGCTTCTCGATCTCGATCCTCAGCCTGCGGATCTGCAGGGAGCAAGGGGAGGAGCCTTCAAGAGCCGCCCTCGGGTCGTGCCCAGGCCGGGCCCGGACGCTCAGCCCCTGGCCAGCCATAAGAATCACCCAGGACACAGGCAGCCCGGGCCTGCGCAGAGCCCCCCCCCCCCCCCCCCCCGCAATGCCAACAGCCCACAGAGGCGGCGGGCACCAGCGGGTTAACCGAACCCGCGAGCCGGCTGCCGCAGAAAACCGACTTCCAGCCGGGCTTTTCTGAGAAAAAGCGCCTCCGAGTGCAGACACCCACGTGCCTAACACGGAGGAGCTCTGATTGAGGTTTGGTCTAAGGAAACGGAACTAAAACAGGACAGCTGAGCTCACCCTCACCTGCCACCGCTCTCGGCTCGGCTCACTCTCACCTGAAACCCCAGCACCAAACATCTCTGAAAACCAAGAGTACGGCGGGGAGCTGCGGCCTAAGTAGGAGGCCAAACTCATCGCGCGCGGAAGCAGGAAGCCCAAACTGAATGGGCACGGGGCTACTGTCACAGTGGCTCTCCGCTGCGGCCAGCTGCTCACCCCGCCCCTCTGCGGCAATGACAATGCCGGGAGTCACTTCTCGATTGTCACAGCTGGGCAGTGCTACTGCTGCAGTGGACAGAGGCCATGGACGCTGCTGAACACCCCCACAGGGCACAGGACAGAGCTGAGGTTAAGACAATGTGAAGGGCCGGCGGTGTGGCACAGCGGGTTAATGCCCTGGCCTGCAGTGCGAGCATCCCATATGCATGCCAGTTCAAGACCCGGCTGCTCCACTTCCAATCCAGCTCTCTGCTGTGGCCTGGGAAAGCAGTAGAGGATGGCCCAAGTTCTTGGGCCCCTGCGCCCACATGGGAGACCTGGAAGAAGCTCCTGGCTCCTGGCTTCAGATTGATGTAGTTCCAGCCATTGAGGCCATCTGGGGAGTGAACCAGAAGATAGAGAACCTCTCTCTCTCTCTCTGTAACTCTTTCAAATAAATAAGTAAATCTTAAAAAAAAAAAAACACTGAGTCTCACAGAGTGCAGAAGCCCATCAAGCAGAATCCTGCGCCAGCAAGGGGCTGCTCGCCCGCTCACTCACTCACTCTCTGAAGGCCACAGATTTCAAGTGAGGTACCTGGGACCCTACTCTCTGCTGCAGGCCAGTTCTTACAGCGAACAAACAAGAATACAAAGTACAGGGTGGGTGCTTGGCACAGCGGTTAAGGGGACTGGGATGTGCCCGTCCCATACCCGAGTCCCCGCTCAGCTCCCAATTCCAGCTTCCGGCTGACCCACACCCTGGGAGGCGGTGGCTGACAAGGACTTAGGTCCCTGCCACCCGCGTGCAAGACCCGGATGGAGTTCCCAGTTCATGGCTTCAGCCTGACCCGGCCCAGGCTGTTGTGGACATTCGGGGAATTGGCACCAGATTCTGTCCTGGTTGCCCCTCTTCCAGGCCAGCTCTCTGCTGTGGCCAGGGAGTGCAGTGGAGGATGGCCCAAGTGCTTGGGCCCTGCACCCCATGGGAGACCAGGAAAAGCACCTGGCTCCTGCCATCGGATCAGCGCGGTGTGCCGGCCGCGGCGGCCATTTGGAGGGTGAACCATCGGAAAGACCTTTCTGTCTCTCTCTCTAACTGTCTAATTCTGTCAAATAAATTTTTTAAAAAATTAAAAAAAAAGAAAAAGAAAAAACAAAGTTCGGGGAGTGAACTAGTAGATGAGAGATCTCTATGGCTCCCCAAAAAAATTCTTATTTATTTTTTAAGAGAATGGACTGCAGTGGTGGCGCGGGGAGGTTCTTCTAGAGCGGCAACCTCATTTCTTCCGCACAATCATCAAAAGGCCCCTAAAGCTCCTCAGGAAGAGGGGCCACTCTTAACCCTTTGTGTCCCCACTGCTCGCCCTGGAGGGGGCGCCAGGTCTCCTGCCTACACACTTCCCCCTCTTGCCCCGGCTGCTGGCTACTGCGCCACGCCCTCCAGGATTCAGGCCACGGCTCTCCATCACAGCCTCCAGTGACCTAGGAATGTGGCCACTGGCCATTTCCCCTGGGGACACTGTGGCCTCCACACAGACCACCCACAGGGCCCAGCCCAGGACCCTGGCTCCAGGGCCCCTTCTGTGTAAGCGGGCACTTGAACCGCCCTCTTCTCCAGGAAGCCACGTAACTGGGGAGACCCAGGACAGCAACACCTGCACGAGGACCCTGTGTACACAGAGCCCAAACTTCCTGCTCACCAAGGACCCACCCACGGCTCCACGCAGGCTCGGGTTACAGCTGCTGCATCAGAAGGGAGTCTATCCCACGGGGCAGGGTGTGTCTCACAGCCCCAGCCTCCTGCCTACAAAAGCGACCCCCCCAGTGACAGCCACAGCCAGCGCAACGGCCAGGAGCGAGGAGGGGGCCTCGTGGGGCTAGCCTGGGGCCCTGAGCCAGGAGCGAGGAGGGGGCCTCGTGGGGCGAGCCTGGGGCCCTGAGCCAGGAGCGAGGAGGGGGCCTCGTGGGGCGAGCCTGGGGCCCTGAGCCAGGAGCGAGGAGGGGGCCTCGTGGGGCGAGCCTGGGGGCCTGAGCCAGGAGCGAGGAGGGGGCCTCGTGGGGCGAGCCTGGGGCCCTGAGCCAGGAGTGAGGAGGGGGCCTCGTGGGGCGAGCCTGGGGCCCTGAGCCAGGACCAAGCGGGGGCTATCGGAAAGGCAGCCCCTTCGCAGCAGCCGTGAGTGAGGACTCCCCAAAACGTGGAAGCCCCGTCTGGTCTCTGACCTCGGCGATGGTGCTTCCCGTAGTGTTTTTGGAAAGATCGTTGTAGATCTCGGTCATCGTCCCTTTGATGGCGTCCATCATCTGAAAGAGAAAGACAACGCAGGTGGTCACTCCTCCAGAACCTCTGCCGGAGCCGGTGTGGACCCAGGGTCACCTCGCCCCTCCCGAGACACTGCGGTGCCTGGTGGGGGAGGCGAGAGCAGACGGTGAGCAGACGCAGGTCCGCCGCCCCACACCCCCGAGGGCACAGGACAGTCACAGCCCAGCTCACCAGGGCCGGGGTTAAGAGCCCTGGTGTAAACCAACGCAGGAATCACCACAGGTCCCCGGTCTGCCGTCGGGGGGCGGGGTCCAGGACGGGACAGCCAGTCCCTGCCCAGGGGCTGCACCGGACAGGCCGAGTCTGGCACCACGCGTGTGCGTTTCTGTTTGTTGCCCGACACAGCAGAGGCACAGAAAGCACTGTTTTATGGAGATAACGTGCACACACCACACAACGGACCCATTTAAAACAGGAAGTGCAGAATCTCGCGGCTTTTCAGGGTACGTGGAGGTACGCACCCACCGTCAGCACCTCCAAACACACACAAGCACCCGGCAAGGAAAACCTGACCCCCTGCACCCTTCATCCTCCAAGCCCCCTTCCGGCCCGCGGGCCCCTCCATCGGCCGCCCGGCTCCCATCTGGCTGCTTGCTGTGCACGGGCTCGCCCGGCCTGCGGTCCCCCAGGGCAGGTGCCGTGGCTTGCGGGCTGCAGCATGTGTGAGGACGCCCCGGGCTCTGAGGGTCCTCCGTGAGGACCCGGCTGTCTGTCACTCAGGATGCCCCCTGCCCATCCACTTCTCGTCTTTCAGTGGCATCAGCAAGTCGGAAGTCAGCTGAGGCCACACAGCAGGCCTCGACAGCTGCTGGCCGAGCGTGTCTGAGCATCGCTTCTCTGTCCCACCTGCCTGCGACCCCGCCCCCAGCTCAGCAGAGGCCGAGACACCCTCCCGCGCCCCAGGCCTGGGCTGCCTGCCAGCTCTGTGCCGCGTCTCCCTGATGCTCCCAGCACGTGAGAAGTCAGCAAGCACCCCTGCCTCCGACGCCATCGTCACCTCTCAGCGTCCACATTCTCTCTGAGCCTCCGACTCCCACCTAAGGAACAAGCATAGGGGCCGGCGCTGTGGCGTAGGGGGTACAGCAGCGCCAGCATCCCATATGGGCGCTGGTTCTAGTCCCGGCTGCTCCACTTCCGATCCAGCTCCCTGCTGTGGCCTGGGAAAGCAGTAGAAGAAGGCCCAAGTGCTTGGGCCCCTGCGCCCACATGGGAGTCCCGGAAGAAGCTCCTGGCTCTTGGCTTCAGATCAGCTCAGCCATGGCCATTGTGACCATCTGGGGAGTGAACCAGCAGATGGACAACCGCTCTCCCTCTGCCTCTCCTTCTCTCTCTGTGTAACCCTTAAAATGAATAAATAAATCTTAAAAAAAAAATAAACACTATTTTCTGGATGATTCCAATTCTGTTTTCTTCTTTCAACATCAACATTTCCATGTAGGGAGTGAACCAGTGGATAGAAGATCTCCCTCCCTCCCTCTCTCTCTCTCTCTTTCAGTACACAAATAAATCTTTAAAAAAGAAACTAAACAAGCAAACAGGCAGAGAGAGCAGGCACGGAGCCAGTCATTACCACACCAGCTTCCCCACAGGAGCACGTGGGTTCAGTCTCCGCTCCAGCCCCCCTAGGAGTCACACCTGGGAGGCAGCAGGGATGGCTCCAGCACCTGGGGTCCTGGCTCACACAGGGGAAGCCCGGCGCCAGCTCCTGCTCCATGGCTGCAGCCCCGCCCCAGCCCTGCTAGGACACCCTCTCAGGGAGTGATGAGCAGACGGGCTCTCTGCCTGCCTCTCTCTGACTCTGAAATAAACTTAGAAACAGGAGAAAGAGAACACCCTTGGGAGGCGTGCTCAAGGGTTAAACGAGAAAACCAGGCCACAGAGGGGGCTCAGCACCTGAACGGAGTCAGCGGGTGCTCATGGAGAAATCCTGGGGGCCGGTGCTGTGGCCTAGGGGCAAAGCCAGGGCCTGTTACGCCAGCATCTCTTACAGGCGCTAGTTCGAGTCCCAGTTGCTCCACTTCCAATCCACCTCCCTGCTAATGCACCTGGGAAAGCGGTGGAGGACGGCCAAGTGCCTGGGCCCCTGCACCCACGTGGGAGACCTGGAAGAAGCTCCTGGCTCCTGGCTTCTGATTGACCCACCCTGACCATGTGGCCATCTGGGGAGTGAACCAGCGGACAGAAGACCTCTCTCCCTCTCCCTCCCTCTAACTCTGTCTAAATAAATAAGTAAGTCTAAAAAAAAATACCTGTCCATCTTATTTTTACAGAAAAATAAATTCACATGAGCATGCGACATATAACCACTGCCACCCCTGAACAGTGACCCCCAATTCACCCCGAGACGGGAGTAAAGCAAATGAAACATCGACCGAGAATCCCAGCGCAGCCTGCGGCCGGGTCACGGCCACCCTGAGCTCTGTGCCGCCTGCGGGTCCAAAGTTCTTATGGGGCTCCTCGCTCTCCACTACTGCAACCCCATCAATTTAAAAAATTAAAATGCAACTGCTTTACAAGAAACTTTAGAAAGTGGACGGAAATCAGGGCGTTACATTCCACGGCGAAGATGTCACCGGTCTGTGCGCTGACCGTTCACTCTTGCTTCCAAATATAGCAAAGAGCGTGCATCTAAGAGGAGGGCCTCCTGCCAAGACACACAAACCTGGGCCTGCTGGCGGGGCCTTGGGAGCCAGGGACGCCCGTCGGCGACCCCCAGAATCCCACCACGCTCGTGTTGGTCGGCTGCAAGGCAAACACCTCCCACAAGGGTTGCTACATTCTGCAAAGTACAGAGGCTCCACGGATCCCGGAACTCCGATGGCTGCAGGACCTGGATTTGTGGGGACCACTGGCTGACTTCACGCCATGGGCCTCAGTTCCCCCCCACCCCCCGCAAACACACAGCTTAGACCGAATCAACATAAGGTGACACAAGGGACGAGTCAGAGCAGACTGAGCGCGCGTCTGGGCTGCAGCAGGCCCTCCCTTAGATCAGTAATGACACAGGTACCCCCTTCAACTCCCTCCTAGTCCCACAGCTGACTTGGGCCAGAAGGTCCCAACACCTTTGTGTCACTCTCCCTTGTTCAGAATAAGAAAAAGGGATCTGGCCGGCGCCGCGGCTCACTAGGCTAATCCTCCGCCTGTGGCGCCGGCACACCGGGTTCTAGTCCCGGCCGGGGCACCAGATTCTGTCCCGGTTGCCCCTCTTCCAGGCCAGCCCTCTGCTGTGGCCAGGGAGTGCAGTGGAGGATGGCCCAAGTGCTTGGGCCCTGCACCCCATGGGAGACCAGGAGAAGCACCTGGCTCCTGCCTTCGGATCAGCGGTGCGGATCAGCTGGCCGCAGCGTTTTGGCTGTGGCGGCCATTGGAGGGTGAACCAATGGCAAAGGAAGACCTTTCTCTCTGTCTCTCTCTCACTGTCCACTCTGTCAAAAAAAAAAAAAAAAAAAATTAAAAAAAAAAAAAGGAAAAAGAAAAAGGGATCTGGGCTCCAAGCCTTGACAAGGAACAGTATCTGATGAGGTTAACCTTCCTATTATTTGGGTTTTTAAGCTAAGTTGATTTAAATGGAAAAAAAAAAAATCAGATTTACAGGCTGCTGCTGTGGTGCAGTGGGTTAAAGCCCCGGCCTGCAGTGCCGGCATCCCATATGGGAGCCGGTTCGAGTCCCGGCTGCTCCACTTCCGACGCAGCTCTCTGCTGTGGCCTGGGAAAGCAGTAGAAGATGGCCCAAGTCCTTGGATCCCTGCACCCAAGTGGGAGACCCAGAGGAAACCCATGGCTCCTGGCTTCGGATCAGCACAGCTCCAGCCATTGCAGCCATCTGGAGAGTGAACCAGCGAATGGAAGACCTCTCTCTCTCTCTCTCTCTCTCTGCCTATCCTTCTCTCTCTGTGTAACTCTGACTTTCAAATAAATAAATACACACTGCTTGGGACACCCAGATCTCACACAGGAGTGAGTGAGTTCTGGCACCGGATCCTCTGCCGGTTCCAGCTTCCCGCAAAAGCACACCCTGGGCGGCAGCAGGGGGATGGCTCCATTGCTTGGATCGCTGGAACCCACATGGGAGACCCAACTCCTGGTTCCAGCCTGACCCAACCCCAGCTGCTATGGGCATCTGAGGACTGGATCAGCAGATCTAAGATCTCTGTTTCTATCTGCCTTAAAATTCAGTACCCTGGTTAGGCCCTCCTGGAGTGCGTGAGAGTGTCCAAGTTTCTCTGTTGGGCACCAACTTTAGACCCAAACAAGACAATCTGCTCGTGGAGGTCCTCCGTGAAAACAGGGCCTTTGCCACTCCAGGTTCCACCCCCCAGTGCATGGCCCGCACCCCCGGCCACTCACTTTGCTGGTGTACTTGGCAATGTCCGCGGCGACATCGGCCGAGGCGGTGGCGATGGGCAGGTCAGCGCTGACCGAGGATGTGAGAGTGCTCGAGGCCCCTGAGCTGGTGACCAGAGGCGACGACTGTGTGCTGGTCACCAGGGTGATGGTGGACGTGGACGGGCTCTGCGTGACCTCCTTCTGCTGCACAGCTGTGAAGCAAAGAACCCTGGTTATCCACGGGGGAGGGAGGGGCGCCCTGCGAGCTTCCCCGCTTCCAGGCAGGCGGCAAGGACCCTCTGAGCCAGCTCCGGCCAGGCTCGCCGAGCCCTCCTCTCCCCGAGGCCCCAGTTCCGGCCTGCGACAAGGTCAAGGCTGCCTGCTCGGATGACCTCGGCCCCTTTGGAGAGCAAGCTCAAGGCTGCCCCCAAATGTGCAGGTGTCCAGCAGCACCTGAGCGCCGGGCTCCTGCCTCCCCGGCTCTGCGGAAGCACAAGAACCCTGACACCTCCAGAGGCAAACGCAGAGGGGTTTCACGTGGCCCGGCCTCCCCTGCTGCCCTGACCCAACCGCGCTGCTCCCTGGCTCTCCCTTTAAAGGGCCCCTTCACCTCTGGACAGATCACAAGCAGGTCTCAGCTTGTGCCGGCCTTTGCCGGAGGACAGCGGCATACCACCGACTGAATCGTGCCCTGGGCACCAGATGGGCTCACGGTGACAAAGACCCTCTGAAAGTTCAGAGCTGGCTGTCAACCAGCCCCTTCCTGGCGGCGCTCAAACCCCAGCCCCGGAAAGCGCCCGGGATGCTGACGGGGCGTGGAGACAGAGCACGCGGGCCGCAGTCCCAAGCTCCACTGGCTCGGGCCCAGCAACTTAGAAAGCAGCGACATCCATCCGCCCCGGCCGCCACCTGTGTTTATCCAAGTGGTTACGGTCAGCCGGGCCACTGAAACCCGCGCAGGGGCGGGCGGAAGCCAAACCAGGCTCTGGCTACCTGTCCCCCTCCTTTCCCCCGCTCCTCCGGGGCTCTCCCCCAAGCGTCCCAGCTCTCCGTGCAGACTTCCGCGCGGCCTGAGATCAGGATCAGCTGACAATCGGCTCAGTAGCTCATTGGCCTTAAGATCGGCTACAGATGGGGCCTCTGCACGGCTGGGGGGGGGGGGGGGGGCTGCGGACCCTGCACAAGGGGTTCCGGAGGCCGGCCCGCCTCCCCTGGGTCACCAACCCCTTGTGCCTAAGGTCACCTTTGCTATCAACTCGCCCCACTGCGCAAAGGAACACCACGAGGTTCACCCACGCGTACAAGGAAACTCAGGCACTCACTGCAGCGCTGTTGGCACTAGGAAAAACCTGGAAGCAACCTACATGCCCGCTCCAGCTGGGGAATGCTTAAAGGAAACTCGGAATACTACGCAGCAGTCCAAAAAGAAATCAGGCAGAGCTGTAAGTACCGACACAGACGGACCTCCAAACATGCTGATGGGTGGGAAAAAGCAAGTAGGCTACCATTTTTATGCTTTAAAAAAGAAAAAAGGAAAAAAAGGAATTATTTCTAGAACATCATATATATATATAAAGTATATATGCACTCATGCTTGGGAATGGGTTTCAAATCCGTCCGTAGTGGCCACTCAGGAAAGGAGGGGAGGGAAATGAAAGGTGACCGGGACAGCAGACGTCGGCGTACAGTGTCCCTTTCTCAAGGAGAACATAGACGCGAGTATCCTTTACAAAGTGGAAAAAAAATTTTTTTTAAATAAAAAAAAAATTGCAAATCAGTTTTTCAAAGTAACATCGGATGGAATGTGCAAGGCCTCCAGGCGTCAGGGGCCAGGAAAGAAATGGGATGGAAAAAAAAAACGGAAACAGCAATGGTTTTTCTCCTGTCACTGTGGCCAAAAGGGAGCGGGCGCCCCGGAGCGCAGAGGGGAGGCGCGGTACCTTTCACAGCCTGTCTGGTCTGATAGCGCGTCCCCTGGGCAGATTGAGGCTGCTGCTGCTGCTGCTGCTGCTGCTGCTGGCGCTGTATCTTCTGCATGTGCCACTTTTGGGAGGACGTTTGAAACTTACTTGATGAGTTCCACACGACCCGCTGCACGGCCGGGGCAGTCTCCTTCGGCAAAAGCGGCCTCTGCTTTTTCACCGGGCTTCCTGCAGCGGCGGTGGCCGGGGCCGTGACCGTGACCGTGGACGTCGCGCTGGTGGCGGCTGTGACACCAGCCGCGGGAGTTTGGGAGGAGGAGCGGGTGAGCACCGGCGTTTCCGGGGGAGACTGGCTGCCCGCCGCGGCAGACGGTGGCACTTTCCCTACAACTGAGACCGACACATGGGGAGAAAGGTAAATGGCCACGGGACAGCAGCCGGCGGTGACACCGGCGAGCTCCAGGGGAAGCAAGCAAGCAGGAACACTCTCACCGCCCTCCCCCGGGGCCAAAGCGGTGGGGGAACGGAATCACTGGACGGCTGGCAAAGTCAGAGCGCGGTGTAGAGGGGGCTGGCTGGGCCCTGCTCGCGGCACCCATCCCACATCAGTATGGGCCCAGCTGCCCAGCTGCCCGGCTTCTGGTCCAACCCCCTGCTAACGCACCCGAAAAGCAGCACTGGCTCCAGTCCCTGGGCCCCTGCCACCCACGGGGGAGACCTGGATGGAGTCCCTGGCTCTTTGCTTCTGCCTGGACCAGCCCTGGCCGTTGTGGCCAATTTTGGAGCAAACCAGAGGATGGAAGATCAATCTCTCCAACTCTGCCTTTCAAATAAATTAAATAAATCTTTAAAAAGAAAAAGAAAAGAGCAATGTGTTGTAAGCACCTTGAGAAGCAGCCCGCCACATCAACTCTGCAGCAGCCCCTTTGGTGAGGGGCCTACAAACATGGACCCTGAAGGACCCATGGGGGCCGGCACTGTGGCATAGTGGGCTAAGCCTCTGCCTGCGGTGCCAGCATCCCACATGGGCACTGGTTTGAGTCCCGGCTGCTCTTCCTATCCAGCTCTCTGCTGTGGCCTGGGAAAGCAGTGGAGGATGGCCCAAGTCCTTGGGCCCCTGCACCCAAGTGGGAGACCTGGAAGAAGCTCCTGGCTCCCGGCTTTGGATTGGCACAGCTCAGGCCACTACGGCCATTTGGGGAGTGAACCAGCAGATGGAAGACCTCTTTCTATATATCTCTCTCTGTAACTCTACCTCTTAAATAAATAAATAAAATATTTTTTTTAAAAAGAAAGGTATTTAAAGCAATATTGTAGGGAATACAGCTTTTAAAAAAAAAGTGAGTTCGTTAATTTACGAAATATTATAAAAATAAGGACCCACAGCTGCCTAACAGCCAGGCACCAACCACGCTGAGCAGCCCCACATGGAAGGTGCCCCTCTGTCTCTGCTGGCTCCCTCCAGGTCAAAGTCTCCGCGTAGTGTGGACAGCCTCGACCCCCAGCCCCGAGAGGAACCCGTGGGGTTCTCGCCAGAAGTCAGGAGCACGGCTTGGGTGCTGGCTGTGGTTTTCCACAGCAGCCCGGCAAAGCTGGTTCTGCCAATGCGCAGTGGGCGCACGCTGAAGTCTAACGTGAGTCTGACTTCTGCTTCAAGGACTGCACATTGAGGTCGAGAATTATCAGGCAGGGCCTGAGAGCGGTGACCGAGAGCGACTCGGGGTGACAGGCACTGGCGGACGGAGGGCGACTCCTCGCAGGAGCTGGGGGGATTCCACAGGCAGAGTGAGGATCTGGGGGGGACGCGTCTGGGATAGGGGAGGACTTGGTGAGGACTGGCTGGGAGGCAGGGGCGAGCCAGAGCAGGTGGCCACGAGGGTGCTCCTTTACTGAGTGGTCGGTCCTCTCTGCAGAGGTCTCGGCCACATGAGGTGAACTGGCCCCCAGGCAACACACATGCGGGCCAGCACCCCGATCGCGCACGGGCCGTGACACCAGACGCCTTCGGCGAGGAATACGCCCGTCCTCTTAGAGTTACTCCACCCGGCAAGACTGGAGTTGGATTCGTCTCGGGAGGACCCGGGCAGCTGTGGGTTTCAGGAAGCCAAGGGGAGCGAGGGAAAGAGACAAGCTGACTCCTGCGCCTTGGGGGCTGCTTCCAGGGTCCACCTGCTGCCCCAGAGAGGCAGGTGCAGCCAACCTGGTGGGCAAGAGTCTGGGACAAGGGGGCCTCCTCGGGTCCTTCTGGGTGACCTGCCAGATAGTAGACACAGTCCCCACCTGCCTGCGTGTACACAAGAGGCGTTAGGCTGGGTGCCTCCAAGAGCCAGGCACCACACAGTGCCTGCCAGGGCTGCTAACCTGCAGAGACACCTTCACTGCCTCCCTTTTCAGCCATGAGACCAAAACATGCGTTGCGACTGCTGACCACAAAAAGGTCACTTCTCTCCTGACTTACACAAAGTTCCAGCTGGTTTTCTTCTTTAAAAAAAAAAAAAAAAGAGTGCAGAGGGCTCAGTGGTGAACACGCCCACATCCTACATCCAGTGACTCAGCCGAAGTCCCTGCTCCATTTCCCATCCAGCTTCCTACAAACACACACCCTGACAGGCAGCAGGTGATGGCTCAAGTATTTGGGTTCCTGCCACCCACATCGGGGACCTGGACTCAGTAACAGGCTCGTGCCTTCAGCCTGGCCCAGCCCCAGCTGTTGTGAGCTAGTGGGTAAAACTGTCGCCTGCAGCACTGGAATCCCATATGGGCGCCGGTTTGAGCCCCGGCTGCTCCACTTCCAATCCAGCTCTCTGCTAATGGCCTGGGAAAGCAGCAGAGGATGACCCAAGTCCCTGGGCCCCTGCACCCACGCGGAAGACCCAGATGAAGCCCCTGGGTCCTGGTTTTGGCCTGGCCCAACCCTGGCCAATGTGGCAACTGGAGAGTGACCCAGCAGGTGGAAGATCTCAATCTCTCCCTCTTTCTCTCTGTAGCTCTGCCTTTCAAATAAATAAATCTTTAAAAAAATGTACAATCTGAAAAGATGTCAGGCTTGAAATACCATGTGGGGTCATCACTTAGATTTTAATACATTAACTTCAATGGGAATTCTGATAGTTTACCAAGCCCCCCCCCAAAAAAAAAACAAACAAAAACAAAACAAAAGAAAACAAAAACAAAGAGGGTACAGGAACTTTACCCTAGAAATTCAGAGCATATAAAACCAAACACTTAATGCCCCAAAAAGGGTGCATTTCTTAGGCTCTCACAATGGGTCACCATCAGATTGACCTGATCATTCCAGAATCTGTCACTGGTCTCTGGCACATGGAGGAAAGACTTTAAAAAAAAAAAAAAAAAAGAACTAGCGCCCCCTTGGGGGAAGGATGGGACTTGCTGATGTGATGGTGAGCCTGGGCAGGAAGCCTGCGGGAGGCCCTGTCCCCGCACGCTGAGACGGCCTCCCTGGCCACACACACTGCTCTCCTAGCTCCAAGGCCAGCACAGCCCCGCCCGTTAATAAGCTCCGAAGCGAGAGCTGGTGGCGGAGAGGACACTCTGTGGGGTGACCTGAAGCCAGCTCTCCAGGAGCCAAACCCTGGCGACCTGCTCAGACGGACTCGTGAATTACCATCGGCCTTGCGCAGCAGTGCAAGGAAGAACTCCAGTTCTCACCAGCGGAGACGCCTTTATGTGGGGCACCGCACGAGCTCGCTTCATGGCTAGGAGCTCAGACCCAAAACGGAAGCCCAGCCCCCCGATTCTGAAGCCGGAACAGGGCGCGCCGGCAGCATAGCTCTCGCCAGGCCCTTCTGCCCGCCTGCCCTCACCGCCCTTCCATTCTGTGTCTTCCCTCTTGTTTCAGGGCTACACCACCTGTCGATCCGTTGCAAAGCCTTTCTGGATGACGAAGGGGCGTAGCGGGAATCAATGCAGAGCCGTTCCAGACAGAAGGGCTTGGCGTGGGCGTCACGGGAGCCCTGCCCCCACCACACCCTCGGGGGACAAAGGCCAGCCCCCCGCAGTGTTCTCTGCAACCGGGGACACCGTCTCTCAACCCCAATCCTCAGCACAAGGAGCATTTTCTGCGCCCCTCTCGCCTAGGAGATGGCCCTGGGCTGCTGCCTCCTGCTTGCCCACCAATCCCTTCTCTCTCCACTCCAGGGCAGTCAGCGGCGGCTCCCTCTCTCCTGTCACCGCGGGCTCGCGGTCAGCCGCAGGACTGAGAACCACAGGCAGCTGGGAAGGGAGCTCCAGGCAGAAGGGCGGCAGCCCCAGGCCAGGCTTCTCCCGGGTCCTCAATGAACTCCTCACGACCCTCGCCCGCCTGCCAAGCCAGCTGGAAACTACGCTGACCACCTGGGCTGTGGGAAGGGCACCCTTTGAAAGCCCCTGTTCTCCTCCCAGAGGGTCTGCTCACGGGCTGGGCCCTGGGAGGCTTCAGACCACAACAGGTGCAGCGGCCCTCAGTGGGGCAAGCTGTAGCCCGCAGGGGATACTGGCACCGTCTGCCTAATGGGGAGAAGCTGGGGCAGCCGACTCCTGCCAGCACAAGACAAAGAACTACCAGGGGCAGCCGACTCCTGCCAGCACAGGACAAAGAACTACCTGGAGCTGAGCTCTACTGAACGCAAACGGGATGGGACACCAACGCGGGGCCCGGCGCCCCGGGGCCCGCCCATCCCCAGTGCTCCAAGGAGCCAACACCCACAGGGAGAACACTGGGCGGCAGGAAGGGAGGAAGAGGGAAGCTGAACTCATCCAGATCTGAGCTATTCAATGCTTATCGGCTGAGCCCTGTCAAATGTCTGAAAGCTCACAGTGTCCTTAGGGAAATGAGTCAGCGTGCTGGGAAGATGCTACTTGGGCTAAAAATGACTTGACCGGGGCCAGCGTTGTGGTGAAGCGAGTAAAGCCAGCCCGTGACACCAGCATCACATACGGGCACCAGTTCAAGGCCCGGCTGCTCCACTTCCGATCCAGCTCCCTGCTAATGCACCTGGGAAAACGGCAGAAGATGCCAAGTGCTTGGGCCCCTGCACCTGCTTCGGAGAACCAGAAGAAGCTCCTGGCTCCTGGCTCCTGGCTCCTGGCTCCGGATCGGCTCAGCTCCAGTCCTTGCGACCATTTGGGGAGTGAACCAGAGGATGGTTCACTGTCTGTAACTCCCCCTCTCAAATCAGTAGAATCTTTTTTTAAAAAAACTGAAAAGGAAAAGCAATTGTGTTCCGCCTGGAACAGGTGAGAGGCGGGCGGGGGCTGGTGTAAGCCGAGGCTCTGCTGGCCCACTACCTGAGGACCACACCAACCACAGCTGGCACCAGAGGGGCACGGCCCCTTGGATGAGACAAACGCAGGGCGGAACTAGAAACCCAACGAAGAAATGGGGACCGGCCGCGTGCACTCACCGTCCTGCTTGGGAGACGGCTCTTTGGGCTCCTTCTTGGTCTTGCGGCCCTCCCGCCCCGCGTGGTCATCGCCCAGGTCGATGACCAGCTCGCTCTCCGAGTCGGAGTCGAGCCCCAGGTGCACGGTCGGGGAGTCCGTCTCGTCCTTGCCCTTCAGCTTGTCCCTGGTGGGGTGAGGGGAGGGCTTCGCTTTCTCTGCGAAGTCCTTCTCGGGCTCGGGGCTGGCCTTGTCCTTGGCCGTCGCCGCAGGCTCTGCCTTCTCCGCGGCCGGGGGCGAGCCCTTCAGCTCCTCTTTCACCTCGGCCGGGTTGGCAGGCTTGGGCTTTTTTTTGGCAGCGGACGGCTCCTTGTCGGCCCGACCGGCGTCCTTGTCGTCCGCGGGCTCCGGCTCGGCCTTGGGCTTCTCGTCATCGCTGATGTATTCGCTGTCGCTGCTCTCCGACTTCTCGGAGTCCTCGGAGTCGCTGTGCTCCACGGCCGTGTACACGTCTTCCGAGATCTCATTGATGCCTGCAGCCAAGAAGAAAAGCCGGCGTGTGCCGCAGCCGCGCACCTGGGAGCAGGGCCCAACGCAGAGGCTCCGCACGCCGCAGCCGAGGTCTGCACACACGCTTCACATGGTGTCACGCGGGCCGGCTGGGGCCACAGAGGAAGGGACGCAGCTCCCGGCCGCAGACCAGTGCCACTCGTGTGTCTGGAGGTGGTTTCGGGACTGGTATTCAAGCAAGGTGGGGGCGCGCTGACCTAAACCTCAACATGTACAACGCTGCTAACCAGCTGAGACAGTGGGAGGGGCGGAAAGAAAGCCTAGAGATTCCTCAAATGATCCAGCTCACAGATTGGAAAACAGAGGCCCAGAGAAATCGCTGGCCGTAAAGTAAACCACGACACAGGCATGGCGAGACCCTGGGCTCCTGACTCTCGCCAGCCCTGTGCCCGAAGCGTTCAAAGCCCTAACCCTTTGTGTAGGGCTCAAAGCAGGAAGCCAGAGCCTTGGGGGACGGGATGCGAACTCTCAGGCCACCAGCCCAGCGGGTGCGGAGGGGCAGGCGTGAAGGGGTGGGAGCGAGGCCTCGCCCCACAGGGGACCCAGGCGTCTGCATCTGGTGTTCTCACTTAGACTGTGTCACCCTGTTCCAAGTCAGGGAATTCTGCACAGAAATCAAGAGCTGTGGCTAGAACAGAAAGTCTGCCCGCAGCAGGTCACAGGCTGCCTACAGCCAGCAAGCCGCTGGCCCCCTCTGGGTGGGGGGAGTGTGTGGTTTCCCCGCAGCCCGGGGGCCTGGCCCTTCCTGCACCGGTGCAGCCGGCTGCCGTGGCATTTCCACGGTGGCTCCACTTCTGGAGGCATCAAGGGGAAGGCCACGCATTTCCAGGTCTCGGGCAAACAGAGTGGAAAGCAGTAGGCATTCCACACGCTCAAACCACAAACCCCAGGAAAAGCCCGCTCTCTCCTGACAAGAGCTCCGCAGGACACCGTCACGCTTCCTGCCCCGACAACGCCAACGCCATCGCCATCGGGTGTAGGGAAGCTCCACGGAGGCCTCCAAGTTTGAAAAGAAGACAGAAAACACAGTCAGCACTGCACAGTCCTGGGTGGAGGCGCCAGCCGCCCTGAGCGGGGTCTGTCCCCACCCAAAGACACCGAGAGCGACTTGCCAAAGGTAAAAGCCGGGCTCCATCCCAGCAGAGCTCTGTGGAACCTCAGTGGCTCCGCTAGGGCTCAACAAAAACCCAAGTCAAAGTTAAACACTCCGATCTGGATGAACGTCGGGACCTACTACTGGTAGCTAATGGTCAGACAAGAAGGTTCAAGTTCAAGCAGACCTCTGAAAGGAAAAGCTTGGGTCCCGAGCCAAATCCTGCTCTGCTCCTCCCAGCTCTGTGACCCCCTGAGGCAAACAACACATGCTGTGAGCCCCAGGAGTTTCACCTGCAACCCAGGACTGGCCACGGCTTCTGCCTGCGGGAGCCGTCTGGGCGTGGGGCTCAGCACAGAGCAAGGTGCGTGGGAAGCACATGGAAGGCCCGAATGTAAAAACTGTTATTAGCAGCACTAACAAAAAAGGAGCAAGAAGAGGGGGCCGGCGCCGTGGCTCACTTGGTTAATCCTCTGCCGGCGGCGCCGGCATCCCATATGGGTGCCAATTCTAGTCCTGGCTGTTCCTCTTCCAGTCCAGCTCTCTGCTGTGGCCTGGGAAAGCAGTGGAAAATGCCCAAGTGCTTGGGCCCCTGCACCCACGTGGGAGACAGGGAGGAGGCTCCTGGCTCCTGGCTTTGGATCTGCGCAGTTCCAGTCGTTGCGGCCAATTGGGGAGTGAACCAGCGGATGGAAGACCTCTCTCTCCCTCTAACTCTTTCACCAGCAGACTTGGCCACACGAGGGTACGTGGCCCTTCTATAGTTCAAGGTTACAGTAGCCATTAAAAGCAGCCAGAAGGCGGGCGTTTGGCCTAGGACACCCTCAGACGGCGGACTGCTGGGCTCAGCACTCGCCTCGGGCTCCTGACCCCAGCTTCCCGCTTACACGGCCCCTGGAAGCCCCAGTGGTGGCTCAGCCAGCTGGGTCCCTGCCACCCACGTAGGAGACCTGGATTAAGGTCCTGGTTCCCAGCTTTGGCCTGATGTAGACCCAGCCATTGTGGGCATTTTGGAGCGAACCAGCTGATAGGAGCTCTCTCGGTCTCTCTGCCTTTCAATTAAGCAAAACGTAAAAATCTAAAGAGAAGAAAGAAATCTTAGACACAAGCAGTCCCGGCGACGTCCCTGCACGGCCGGAGAGCGAGCCGTGCGCCGTACCTAGCTGTGCCTTGCAGCTCTCGATGGTCTTGTCCAGGTTGAGCTGGAACCGGCTGCGAATCTGCCGCTTGGGCGAGGTCAGGGGCGCCGGGGCAGACTGCTGCTGCACCGCCTCGCTCAGCTCCTTCAGGTCCATCTCGGCTTTGCTGCGGTCTGCAAGACACAGGCACCCTCGTGACGCAGCGTTTGGCGACAGCGGCCACGGCCTTAACACACAAGTGCCGGCTTGATCATCACCCCTCCGCTATCGCCTGCTCCAAGACGCGCGTGACTGAGGGCCGCTCTGCCCGTTTGCCCAGGACGGTGGCTGCGCTGCTCCCGGTGCGGACGTGGACAACGCCGCTTCCAGGATGGCCCCACCCCACCCCAAGGCCCAGGAAGGCAGCGAGACGCAGCTCTCACTTCTACCCCCAGAGGGAAGATGCTGCCCAAGTGGCCATTCCCCCGGGTCTCCAGTAACATCCCTGTAAGATGACCAACAAGCTGTCTCAGCGGTCAGCAAGTTCTCTGCAGAGGCCCAGCAGGTCGGAACCATCAGCCTGGTAGACCACAGAGGCTCCGCTGCCAGTGTGGCCACAGCAGAGGGGTGTGGCTGTGTCCCAGTGAAACTTTCTTTATAACACAGGGCGGGGCGGGACCTGGCCCACAGGCTGCAAAACTCCCCAGCCCCTGCAAGCGTCTATTTCGCCCTATTTACACACAGCGACTGCCTGTGGAGCTTTAAAACAAAATCTAGGCCGGCGCCGCGGCTCACTAGGCTAATCCTCCGCCTTGCGGCGCCAGCACACCAGGTTCTAGTCCCAGCCGGGGCGTCGCATTCTGTCCCGGTTGCCCCTCTTCCAGGCCAGCTCTCTGCTGTGGCCAGGGAGTGCAGTGGAGGATGGCCCAAGTGCTTGGGCCCTGCACCCCATGGGAGACCAGGAGAAGCACCTGGCTCCTGCCATCGGATCAGCGCGGTGCGCTGGCCGTGGCAGTCATTGGAGGGTGAACCAACGGCAAAGGAAGACCTTTCTCTCTGTCTCTCACTGTCCACTCTGCCTGTCAAAAAATAAATAAATAAATAAATAAATAAAATCTAATGTCAGCCCCACCCGCGCGGGCTGGCCCCAGGTCTGGCTCTCAGCGTCTCATAGTTCCCCAGGTCCTAACTGCTGGCCAAGGTTAGGAACTCCTGTGTTGGATCTGATGCCTTAACTGTTGGGTTTCCCTTGTCAACCTGGCAGTTTATAGAAAGAGCTGTAGGGACCGGCGCCGTGGCACAGTGGGTTAAAGCCACGGCCTTTGTAGCACCGACATCTCACATGGGTGCAGGTTTGAGTCCTGGCTGCTCTAGTTCTAATCCAGCTCCCTGCTAATGCTCCTGGGAAGGCAGTGGAAGATGGCCCAAGTCCGTGAGCCCCTGCACCCATGTGGGAGACCTGGAGGAAGCTCCTGGCTCCTGGCTTCAGCCTGGCCCAGGTCGTTGCATCCATTTGAGGAGTGAACCAGCGGATAGAAGACCTCCATCCTGTGGAGGGGTGGAGGGGGGACCACTCGGGCTGAGCCTCAGTGATGTCCAAGGGCATGTCACAAGTTCACAGAAAATGGAATTAAAATTTAAGTGCAAAGAATGTTGGAGGGGCCCTCGTTGTGGCAAAGCAGGCTAAGCCACAGAATGCTACGCTACGCTGGCAATCCAAGTATCAGAGCACCAGTTAAAATCCCAGCGGCGCCACTTCCAACCCAGCTCCCTGCTAGTGCACTTGGGAAAGCAGTGGAAGATGGCCCAATTAACTGGACCCCTACCACCCACATGGGAGACCTGGACGGAGACCTGGGCTCCAGGGAGGCCATCTGGGGAGTGAACCAGCGGGACAAACAGGGCAAGCAAGCGCTGCCTTTCGCTCGGGCCCGGAGCAACCACAGAATGATACCGAATTCCTCTCCACTATCTGCCTTTTCCACCCACGAGGGACTCCCATCAGGCCCAGCCAGTGCCCCTCCTGCCCATACACGCCCCCATGCCCAACTCCATGCTTTCACGCTGACGACAAAGAGAAGCGTGGCCTGCAACTGACGAATTCCAGTGGAGACAGCCTCCCTCCCTGTGTCACCACAGCCACACCCACCCACCAACACCTAGGGCAGCACGAAATCCCAAGGCCCAGGGTGCACGAGGGCACCCAGTGACAGCGCGGTCTGGGGGAAGCGTGACCGGCAGAGCGGAGGTGACAGGAGGGCGTGGGACAGCAGAACACACAGCTGGGAAGGACGAGTGTTCCCAAGGCAGCAGACGCAGCCCCTCTGTGGAGCTCCGAACTGGGGTCCCCAGAGCGGCCCACCCAGCGGTCCCTTACACCTGGGCTACAGAACAGGGGGCTCCGAGTCCAGCTGAGCGGTGACCCTGAAGCCTCTGTGATCTGGGCAACTGGAGCCTCCTCTCCAACCTCAGTTTCCCCATCTGTAAAGGGCACTCGGTGCAGGGCACCAGCCACGAGAGGCAGTGAATTCGCACACAGCTAGCGCTGCCCACAGCGGCCAGCCTCCCTTCCCGAGACCCTCTGGCCCCAGGGCCACTCCCCCGGAGGCCCCGCCTCCTCCAGTGCTGCTCTCTGGGCTCTGCTGATCGCTGCAACACCCAGGGCCCTGGCTCCTTCTGGGGCACTGGACCTGATGCACAGCTCAGCCGGTCGTCGGGGCTGGAGCCCCTGTGTGGAGAACTGTCCCGTACTCGGTGCTGAGCCACGTCTCCAGCCAGCAGCCATCGAATGCCAGCAGCGCCCCACACCCCCACAAAGCTGACGGGGTCCCACTCTGCCCCAATCCCACATACAAACCAGATTCTGATAACTACACCTGCTCAGGCCTGGCCACCGTGACCCTGCTTCCTGCCTCCGGCTGTCCTCTCGGCCGCCCCACCTAGGGGTCTACTGGGAATCTCAAACTTACAGAATCCACACTGAACTCTTGACTCCTGCTTCTCCTACCAGACATGATGTGTCAGCGTAATTAAGGCATCACCTAAGAGGAGGGGGGGAGAGGGAAGGGAAGGGGGAAGAGGAGGAGGGGGAGAGGGAAGGGAAGGGGAGAGAAGGAAGAGGAGGGAGGGGAGGAGGAAAAGGGAGGGGGAGAAAGGGAGGGGAGGGAGGAGAGGAAGGAGAGGCAGGAGGAGGGAGGGGAGAAGGAAGAGGGGAGAGAGCGGGAGGAGGAGGAAGGAAGGAGGTGAAAGGAGGGGAGGGAGGGAGGAGGCAGGGGAGGGAGAGGGAGGGGGAGGCAGGGGAGGCAGGGAAGGGAGGGGAGGGACTGTCCCAGGCCCTGCAGGATGTTTTGTAGCAGCCCTGGCCTCTCCACACCAGATGGCGGTAACACCTGCTCCTCCAGGTGCGACCATCGAGAATGGCTCCAGTCCCCGCCAGGTGTGCCAGGATGGGGAGTACAAAACTGGTTAGAGCGTTCTCAAGGCAGCAGAGCTCCTTGTGAAACAAGAAATCCATACAGATTTCTCCTCCGCTCAACACCCCCCCCACGCCATGCCCACAGGCACCACTAGTGCCCCTCCCCCACTCACTGGAATGCAGCCACGGCAGCCTCCTAGCCAAGTCAGCCCTTAGCCTACAGCCTCTAAAAAAAAACACCTTGCTCCTTCTAGAATGTTCTTCCTAGACACTGGCATGGCTGGTTTATCCAGTGATGAAAATCTCAGCTCGACCCTCACCTTCTGTAAGAGGTCTGTCTGTAACCCCACACCTCCGTGAGCTGCCACCCTGCCCCTCACCTGCCCGTCTCTCCCACCGGACCAACACATCACATCATCAGGGCACCCATCCTGCAGCACCCAAGACAGAGGGTCTGACTCCACCTCCCACAGCTGGAACAGCAGTCTGCACAGAGGGGCTGTGATGGGGCATATCGATAACACAGTGACCTCAAACATGGTTGTGGCTGGTCCCACCCTGGTGCCAGCGTTTTGCTTGCTACAGCCCCTTAGCCTAACCTAGTGTTTCTGTACCAACCAACTGAAATCCAATACTTTAAAATTTAATTCCTGGGAGGAAGACAAATTAAGGCAACAGTGTATCAAAGTGCACCACCCCAGGAGAGGCGAGCATTCAGGAAACTGCGAGCTGTGCCCGCAGTGGTGCAGTTACTGCACTCCAGGAAGCGAGCTCCTCTGCCCTGGCAGGAGGCACCTGAAGATCAAACAACCTTGCAAGTCACCAGCCCACGGAGATCTCTGACTTGTTCCTTTAACTGATCTCGCCTCGCCTCGCCCTCAGTCGCTGCAACTCTCTAATTCTTTGTACAAAGGAAAAAGGCTCAAGGTTCACAAGTCATAGCAAAGGGCACATCACAGCTTGCAAAAAAGCAGTCCCCCAAAGCTGCAAGGTTAATTCCAGAAACTTCCAACTGACCCAGGTTAAGATTCAGGATGCTCCCAGTGGTGGGTGTTTTGTCCGTCTTCGTCGTGATCGGAGTTGACGCTTGAGGGGAGAAAGGTCTCGGGCTGCCGGATAAGCTCCCTGCTTGTCCCGTCTTGGTGGAGGCGGGGGAGGCTGGAAGAGTATGGCACGGTTAGTGACAGATTCACCAATCGGGGCATGGGGGAAGAGCGGGGGCAGCGTGGAAGTGGATGAGGCCTCACCAGCGTGGGATTATGGTGGCTGGGGGAGGGGTGAGGGCGCCGGCCACTATTGGCAGCATCAGGCTACAACGAGCCAACGTTCAACCGTGAAAGCCACAAAGAAGACGGCCTCCCCAGTTATTCTATTACACCCAAAGCTCTAAGACCAATCGGCTAAGCTGCCAATGAAATTGGTTTGGCCCGTTCACGGGTGTAAATCTCAAAGCAAATGGCGAGGAAACCAGCCCCCACGTGGCCCAGCCTGGGAGGCAGGCTTCCCAGCGCATGGCGCCCGCGAGCGGCTCTCACAAGGCCTCCACACCTGCTGGCCAGCGACACAGCCCCTGGGGAAGTCTCCAGCTCCCATTTCAAAGGCTTCCGAGGCTGCACAGACGCCAGACTCACTGGCAGGTGGAGGGAGGGAGGTGCTCGTCCATTTTGTTGCTCCATATTGTGTTTCCAACTTTCACAGGAAGACAGAGGACAGATGCCAGTAGCTTTCAAAAATACCTGAAAACTACCTACACCCTCCTCCTCATGAGGCCAAGGTGAGAACCAGACCGTTTGTTTCGGGAAAACAAGCAGACTGCAGAGCAGCCCCAAGTACCCGTGCAGGGACCTCCTGGTCCTGCCTGCAGGCTTGGCCCTGCCACCTGTGGGGTCTGCCCCGTTCTTGCCGATTTACAAACAGCTCCAACGAAGTGCAGCACAAATGCAAAAATGGCTGATTCTCCTCAGAGGCGCAAGGAACAGAGACGCAGACCTGGCCCACACCCACAGCAAAGAGGCAGGCACGGAGGTGGCCCCTTGGGTGGGCGCCTGCCTCCATTTCCTCCCTTGCCCAACACAGAGGCTGAGGTTGAAAGTGGAGACCAGACCTGCGGTCATCTGAGCTTTGGTGCCGAGACCTGACTACGTCATTCTCAACATAGGCTCCTGGACTGCCAGGAGCCAGACACTGGGGGCTCAAGGCCCAGCCCAGCGGCTGCCTTCCTGTGGAACCCTGGGCAAGTGACCCCTTCCTGACAGCAGGGAGGATGGGTACTGATAAGGTAACACAAACGGACACAGTGCAAGGTGCACAGGTGGCACACAGGCCTGAGCAAAGCACCTGCACCCACAGCTTGTCCCGAGGGCTCAGTGTCTCCCTCAATCGTCCACAAGGTGCCTGCCATCGAAGCAGCACGGCTGGCCCGCAGTGTCCATGGGGCCTGCCTCCAAGACCTCCCCCACACAAAAATCCACAGATGCCCAAGTCCCTTATGTAAAAGGCTATAGTATTTGCACATAGCCCATACGATCCTCCTCAGGTTCCAGGTCATCTCGATGATTTATAATAACACAACACCAATGCTGTCGGTAGACCACTTCCTTGAGGGGGTGGTAACTTAAAAAAGCCCGCACGTGGAGCTGGTGCGGGGGCGCAGCGGGTAAAGCCACCGCGTGCAATGCTGGCATCCCATGTCTGAGCACTGGTTTGGGTCCCGGGTGCTCTGCTTCCGACTCAGCTCCTTGCTGAAGCTCCTGGGAAGCAGGAGTGCACGATGCCTCAAGTCCTTGGACCCCTGCTATGTAGCTGAGAGACCCAGATGGAGTTCCAAGCTCCTGGCTTTGGTCTGGCCCAGCCCTGACCCCTTGTGGCCATTTGGGGAGTGAACAAGTGGATGGAGAGGCCAACGCTGTGGCATAGTGGGTAAAGCCACCACCTGTAGTACCAGCATCCCATATGGGTGCCAGTTCAAGTCCTGGCTGCTCCACTTCTGATCCAGCTCTCTGCTATGGCCCGGGAAAGCAGTAGAAGATGACCCAAGTGCTTGGTCCCCTGAACCCACGTTGGAGACCTGGAAGAAGCTCCTGGCTCCTGGATCCAGATGGACACAGCTCCAGCCATTGTGGCCAATTGGGGAGTGAACTGGTGGATAGAAGACCTCTCTCTCTGCCTCTCCTCTCTCTGTGTAACTCTTTCAAATAAACAAATAATTCTTAAAAAAAAAAAAAAAGTAGATGGAAGATCTCTCTTTTATTCTTTCACACAAATTAAAAAAAAAAAAACTTAGAAAAAAAAGCCACACATATTCAGCAGAGACACAATTACTTCTCCTGAATATTTCCAAACAGTGGCTGGCTGAATCCACAGAGACCCCCCACTGCCCACACTCTCACTGGGGACTGGGGACTGGGGACTGGGGACTGGAGACTGGGGACTGGGGACAGTGTATGGTTACCACACCCAGGGGGTGGAGCTGCTAACAGCAGGTACAGGACAGAGCGGATGGATGATGGGAGATGTCCTGCACCCCCCAGGACAACCCACACAACCTGTGACATGGCCCCAGAGGTGACCGGTGCTGGGACCGAGAAAGCCACACAGCAGCCGATGGTGCAGCCGTGTCTGGGAGCCGCCTCTGGAAAGGACGGGGACAGAGAGGGTGAGAGGGTGCCACCCACTGCTCCATGCTCAGGGAGGCTCAGCAAGTGCCCGACACACACTGGAAATTATCAGGAGGGGCCGGCGCTGTGGCGTAGCTTAAGTTGCTGCCTGCAGCACCAGCTCCCTGCTAGTGGCCGGGGACGAACAGCAGAACAGGGCCCAAGTGCTTGGGCCCCTGACATCCACGTGAGAAACCTGGGAGAAGCTCCTGGCTCCTGGCTTTGGCCTGCCCCAGCGCTGGCTGTTGCGGTCATTTGGGGAGGGAACCAACGGATGGAAGATGTCTCTGTCTCTCATTCTATCTCTGCCTTTCAAGTAAATAAATAAAGCTTTTTTTAAAAAAGAAATTATTTGGAGCATGACATTTGAAACGTGTTGATGCAAATCCATCTCATTCCGAGGATGGACAGACAGCCAGGCCCAGCAGCCAGCAGGCAATAGAAGCCCTTCACTTGACAGCTAGAGTGACTGTTACCCCCCCATACTATAACCACGAGAGCCAAAGTGCTTGTTACACACACACAGCATGACCAGCAACATCTTTACTGTTGGCATTTGTAAAAGCATTCACTCCTTTATGTTCTGAAAATCCATGGCCCACAAGGATTCAAGATCAAGACCAAAGCTTTTCTGTGTTCTGTTTTGGCTTTACTAGTTCAAATTTTAAAAATTTCTTTGCTTTAGAGCAGAGACAACCCACCCACTGGTTCACTCCGGAAGGCCTGCGGCGGCCCTCCCTTGCTGGCCCGTCCGCTGTGCTCAGGTCTTTCTGACCACCTCCGTGTGCCCCCAGAGCACCAGCTAAGACAGCAGCATCCCTACCGGCGCTGCCTGAGGATCCCACGTGCATTTTCTGACAAGCAAGCATACAAAGTTAACTGAAAACTGAGGTCTCCACCCCTCCTCCGACTGGGGTCCCCCAAGCAGGAAGGAAATGGTGACAACCCAATGCGACCCTTGCTGCGTAAGCACCAGCTTCAACAATCTCCTCAACATCACGGGCCCCCCAAAACAAGCTGTGCTAAGAGCAAAATGACCAACTCAACGGAGGATGCGGGCTGGGGCAGCAGGCAGGACACTGTCGGGACGCAGCAGCCCCAGGAGAGGGCGGCCTGGGCTCCCAGCTCTGCTCCTCACGCCAGCTCCTGCTGGGCATCCTGGGAGGCAGCAGGTGTTGGCCAAGCACCTGGGTTCCTGCCATCCCTGTAAGAGACCCAGATGGAGTCTGGGCTCCTGCATCAGCCTGGCCCAGCCCCAGCTGCCCCAGGCACTGGGGAGTGAACCAGCCGCTGGAAGGTCTCTGTCAGTCTCTCCGGGTTAAAAATAAAGTGAAAATAAACAAGCAAGTAACTAGACAGATGGAGACAGACCGTTCAGTCCGATCCTATTCCAACACAAGGACGTTCTTGTCCACGCGATTCTATGCATCAGAAACCTGAAGGACCAGCCAGCAGGTGGGTTAGACCTAGCAGCTGGCCCCTCTTCCGGTGGATTTATGAGCTATTTATTATATAATACTACATTTTGAAAGGAATATTTTATACAAAATTAAATGGAAATATGGAAGAGCTACGACGCTGGAAGGTCACGCCATCAGAATGCCGCCATCAACGGCAGAACCTGAAAGCCTGGTGCGTTCCGTCCGTGGCGCGTGGCTCAGCAGTGTGCAGGCAAAGCCCAGGCCACGTCTGGAGACGCCTGTGTCTGCTGTGACGGAAGGGGAGCAAGCTGCTGGCATCTCACGGCCGGAGGCCAGAGATGCCGCGGAACTTCCTGCGGGGCACGGGATGGCCCAGGGCAGAGAACTGTCCAGCCCAGATGTCCAGGGGGCCAAGGTCAAGGCCGAGAACCACGCCTGGAAACCACTCTGGACTTCTGCAAAGCAAAGGCATTTGGAAACGTTCATTTCAATCAGGCTTTGAAACAAACGCCAATCCTTTCATAAAGCCATAAATCTCACCCAAGGAACTAATCGCCTTTGAAGTCACCGATAATTTAATCAGATTGTGGGCTTTGATGTTCGGTTCACCTTACCTACCTCTGCAAAAGCCTACCGTGGACTTCGTGCTGTTTCTGACCCTGGAATAAAATCCTAACACCGGGCCCCACCTTCCCATACACCCCCGCTCTCCGGGCGCACAGGCTGGGGCAGTTCATGGTTCGTGCCAAGTTTCCCCAACTTTTCAGACCTAAGGAACGACCTCTGTGCTAACGGGCTGCACCTTGCACAAATCCCAGAGGGGCACGCACAGCTGAACACAGCTGAGCACAGCAGCACCCGGGGGCCCGCGGGGGTTAGGAGGTGCCGGTAAATGCCGTTTTGAAGGAAACGATGGAAGAGTATCTGTAAAACAAGTTTACATTTTTCAACAATTCCAGGGTCTGCCTGTGACATCGAGGTTAAGCCCCTGCCAGCAACCAGCACCCCGGCTGCTCCACTTCCGGATCCAGCTCCCTGCCAATGCGCCTAAGAACGCGGTGGAGGACGGCCCACGTCCTTG